GTAGAACCGAACCCAAAATTGGAATCTACAGTTTGGGTTTGGGTTTGGTTCCAATAATTTCAAGGACCCGAATGATTTCATTTACAGTATACCTGAAGTATAACGGGTGGTTTCATGTATTAAAATACCCAGAGCGACCTACCCAACGCCGAGGCCTACCGCCCAGACATGTTTTTTTTATTTTTTTTGCACGGTAATAGCATGGGTCAATCACACATGACTACTCTTTGCACATTTTGATAGTTGACTGATTTTGACATCAAAAATAATTTAATAATTCAGGACAATCGAGTATGTTCTTTAAGAGTTACAATTTTTCATTATAGATTTAATAACCAATTTTCTAATTGGATCTCGAACCACAAAAATACCAATGCCCCTATTTTATAATTAACCCCTGGTTAGTAATGATTAAAATTAGATTTTTAGTAAATTTGATGAAATGTGTAGTTTAAAATTTGCGAAGCCAATTAAATATGTAATAAAAACTAATTTTTGACTTTGATTCAAATTAAAATCTAAATTTTAATTTTTAATCCCCCACCAAACATGGCTAAATCTATTCGCACGCATTCAAAAAAATGTTAAATAAAAGGTGCCAGAAGAAATGGAATAGAAAAATAGGGAAAAGGATTTTCACAATTTTTTAAAGAAAAGATATACAAACAAACTAATAGCTAATAAGAATAGGAAGAGAAAAATTGTTGAAAAGGATAACTTTCTATGCATATATGTGACGTAAAGCAAGAATGAAACATGAAGCTGAAAAGTCACTATATTTTAATTTAATTTCAATTTTTATCACTATATCATATTGCCATCCCAACTGACAAAAAACTATTAGTAAGAAGCCATTCCGCAACGATTAAAATGAAATATTTGTTGCAATTTTTTTGTCGGGGGTTCGAGAGGTGATAAAATTTAAAATTAAATTGAAATTAGTGATCCAATTAAAGTTGACGTCTTTATTGAAATTTAAACAATTAGTAGATGAGGAGTTCGATTAAAGCCCGATATCATCAAATCAAATATAAAATGCGAGTTATTTTTCAAAACAAGAATACACATCTCATTCATTGATACATGTACAGCTCTATCATTCCCACGGAGAAACGTTCTTATGGACATGCCTAAAATGGTTCTCTTGCTATTTGTTAGTCATCAATAATAATACCGTACAACTCATCTCATGAAACGGCACATCTTAAACTCCTATGTCCGATTAGTTTCTTTTACTATGCACATTTTCAAATGTAATCTACCACTTTTTTGCATTTTCCAAAACATCAAAATCCTCGAATTTTGGTGAAAATTTTATATACCCTAAAACAAAATAATTTTAAAGGGTATTGTAAAATCACTAATCCCAGGCACTGCTCACCCCAGAACCATATCCCCCACCGCCATAATTTCCGCCACCATAATAATCTGAGTTTCCCCCCCTCCGATTATAAGAGTTCTCTCTTCTAAAATCACGACCACCAAAACGCCCACCACCACGCCTACCTTTACCTCCATATGGAGCTCGACTTGCAAATCGAATCAGCCAGTCAGGTACCTCTTGATTGGCTTCCTGCATCAGATCAGTTAGAGGCTTTGCTAGTGACGAATTGTTCTCGTTAAAGAAAGCTGTAGCCAATCCTGTTTTCCCAGCACGACCTGTACGTCCAATCCGGTGTACATAATCATCAATATCATTCGGGAGATCAAAGTTGATAACATGAGCAACGTGAGGAATATCAAGACCACGAGCTGCCACATCCGTCGCAACCAAAATCGGTGTGTTCCCACTCTTAAAAGATCTCAATGCTAGTTCTCTTTCCTGGAACAACAAGTCAAATCAAGTAATAATCAACGTAGTAGGTGTCACGAAACAACATTTACACAATTAAGGAATAAAAAGATTCAATAAAGTCAAGGGGATACACAACCTTTCAAGTTGCCAACTTATATATATTGTCTAGTAGGTCAAGATCCATTCTATAAATAACGGTAATGTAGTAAAAAATAGCAAAACATGGTACTGCAGTAAAAAATAACAAAACATCGTCCCTTTCTGGTCCCCATATTTAAAACACATTTTATGAAATTTACAACTTTTATCAAAATATACTAAAAATCTGATTTTTATTTAAACCAAACAGAGGAATATAATAGACAAGGATCCACATAGCAACACGCAAAAATTATGTCGACGGCATCAATACAAAGAGTTGTATTGCTCCATGATAATGTCATTTTAATGAATTTCATTCAATCTGCAACCATTAGATCACATTATGCGATGCATGTTTTTTCTAGAATTCTGAAATCAACAAGTGTAAAGTTCGATAATGGGACTCACACAATCACAAAATACATTAAAGCATAAGACAAAGAATTTTACTGGAAAGCGCCAAATTACTTACATCAAATTACCTATAGTGCAGCTCTCTAAGTCCCACGGCATATCAAAGAACTAGTAAATTTGTATCTAACGAGCAATTTGTTAAAAGGCATAGCATGGATCAAGTTATTTTCTACCCGGAATTTTAACGACTATGGAACACAGAATAGCCACATCATGAAGCACCTTATCTCATTTCAAGGCATCAAAATTACTCAAGGATCTGAAGTTAATCCTACAAGTCTAATTTCAAAGCATGTGCTGAGATTACTATAATCTTCCCCTTGTGCAGGTCGGGGACCTTAAACTTTACAATTTTTTTAAGCACAAACTCATTCGACAAATGCACTTATTCTTCACAAAAGACACAAATTATGAAAGTTCACTGACAAGTGTTTACTGCAGACGTTCTTCAAGATATCTGTCGGCTCACACATTTGTAGTCACTCTTCAGCAAATTACTCATTTACTTGGATTTCAACATAAAATATTATAATACTCAAATAGCTATTCTTCAATTCAGAATTCCAAAAGCAAAATAGAAGTCCAGATAATGCATAGGGTGCATAGAGAGACCAAAGCATAATGGCCACGAAAATGTTCCAGAAGAACCACACAGAAAACACCCACGTAGTAACTACTAAAACATCAACTTCATCATTGCTTACTTGTTGTGTTCGATCACCGTGAATTGTTGTAGCAGGAAAACCTTTAACACACAACCAATGTTCCAATGAATCAGCTCCTTTCTTTGTTTCCACAAACACTAAAGTAAGAGCTTGCTGCACACATCAATAACAGTCAGGGAACTAATTTTCTTCTTGACATAAAAAATAGATAACAAATGAATCAGAATAGAAATTTGAAGATTTAGAAAGCTTAAAACCAATAAATAAACAGTAAATTGAATGGTTAAAGAAGATTTACTGAATTCCTATTTAGGCTCTACACAGAAACTTACAGGACGATCAAAGTCTTAACATTATGTGTACTGTACAGGGAAGGGCAGGGCAGTATAGAGGGGGAGGGGGAGGGTGTTATGATTGAATATGAAACAAAGCTGTCACAAATCTCAATTATTGTTAAGTCATACAACCAAAAATATATCATAATCAAACAAAAGTATATTGGCATGCATCCATTGGAATATCACTACCTACCTTTCCATAAACCCCATCGGCTCTCTGTGCATGAAGAAGATCCATCAAATAGCTTGTCTTGTCATTCCCGTGAACAAATTCAACTCTTTGAACGATTAAGTCCGTACTTGAACCAACCCGTCCAACAGTCAAAAATATGTAATTGGAAAGAAAATCAGAAGCCAGTCTCTACAATGCCAACAATCAGAAGTTCAGAAGATTACGGCTAACAATGTAAGCAAGAATGTAAAATTTCTTCCACTAGCATAACCTCAATTGCTTCATAATGTATGTACCGAGCAAGTAAATAGTTCATGGCATTTACAAAACCACGCTCAAGAATCAAATATATTTTTCATTTTAGTTTTAACAAAGTCTCAAATTTATGTCACTTTCCTTTTAAGACAACTTTTTTCATAGTTCTTTCCAAACTAAAATTAGGTTCATACTCAAACAAGTCAAAGCTAGAAAGGCAGAAACCCCGTAAATCAAATGATGTCACATAACAATAAATAAAACAGTCACAGTTAAGAGTTGCCATCAGCATTTAATTACTGCACAAGATTAATAAGAACTGCATTTCTAAATGTTTCTTCATTGAAAACTTCTAAGGACAGGTTTCAACCACATAATCTTATGTTACTTCAGGACAAATGTGTGTGAAAAGAAAAACAAATGACAATCAGAAAGACCTTTAAAAATAGATGACAGCAAATCCAAAATATAGCAACACACAGAATCATCTACAATAACAACCTGTATCTCTTTTGGAAAGGTGGCACTAAACAGCATTGTCTGTCTTTCGCCACGAGGAGGCATATCCATTTGTTCCACTATCTTCCTAATCTGAGGCTCAAAACCCATATCCAGCATTCGATCTGCTTCATCAAGAGCCAAATATCTAATCATTTGTAATGAAACTTTGGCTCTCTCAAGCAAATCAACCAATCTTCCGGGAGTTGCCACCAGAATATCAACTCCTTTCTCAAGTTCACGCAGCTGCGCACAAATTAATTAGCTGCAGGACCACTTCATAAAAAAATACATCTACATTGAAAATCCAATAAAATCAACTGAATAATTTAAAAGGGCATATGAAAGGTGTCTGACTATTTATAGGATACAAATCTCAAATCTCACTGATAATAATTCTTTGTACGTAAGGGTAACTTTTTTCCCAATTGCTTTACATGTTCAAGCCAAGTCCTGGGCCAAAGCCACCTAGAGCCTCAAAATTGAGGGGCCTCAGAAAAAAATGGAAATTATTTCAGTTTCTTCCACGAGCAGTCTTTTACCTTTCCGGTTCTCATTGCCGTCATCATTTTGTTTACTTGTCCCAAGCCAACAAGATCTCATTTTTAATTCTTAAGCTCACTGCACTGAGTGTGTAGAGTTTGAGCAGTAAGCAGAGAGAGTTTATCATTTGGTTTGAGACTGAGACTGAGACTGAGACAGAGGTCAGGGAAGACACATATCAGCTGTGTGGCGATTCTGAGATATCATAGAAATTCTAAGTCATTAAGTAATCTTGTCTTGGCGGACTGTTTAGTAGAAACATATAATGACCCCCACAGCCCCACCTGACTTTATTCTACTTTGTTTTTAATATTTAATTTTTTTGCAATGACAGATCCCTTGGTAAACATTTAGTTACATTTAAATTATAAACAAAAAATTTTACCCATATATTCTTTAGACTCACAAGTTGTATCCATTTATCAAACACTCAATCAAGGTATTGAACCACCCAAATCATCAAGCTATTGGGTCACTGATCGATGGATCAATGTTTATACATAAGAATTTTAAGAAATTTTAGTTGAACTTGTTGACCTCTAAAAAAATTTATTTTTATAGCCAACAGAAGGATTTCCTATCGGATTTTGACAAGGTGTTGCCCCTTTTGAGGGTTTTGGATGTGTGTTTGGTAAGTTTTGTTTGAGAAGAAAGGAGATGAGTTTTTCGGCGTTAGTTTGGCCGGAAAATGCACTTCAATTGGAGAATACTAGGATTTCCAAGAATGTTGACCCCTAGTTTTGCGTTCATTAGAGGCATTATTTTATTTGAAAAGGAATGTATCTTAACTAAGATTTGATCAGTTTGATTCCTAATTTTGCATTTAAAAATGTGAGAAGGCTAAATATTATGCTAGCCCAATATCTCTGGTTGTGAGAATGTTTTATTTTACTACTCTATCTTTTGGATGGTATAAAATTTTCGTTTAAATATATTCAAATATTTAAGTATTGCTACGGTTGTAAAAAAAATTATGTTTAAGGACTTTTTAATAACTAATCGCCTAAGGTCCAAAATTCTTAGGGCCGGTCCTCTACACGTTTCTAGCTTCAAATCCATTAAATCTAAATTGAGAGCACATTGATGCTGCCAAAAAGATAAATAAATTGATAGCCATACGAGAAATGAGGCAAAGGGAAGAGATATCACCAATGCTCTTGGGTTTATTAATCCACAACTAAAAAAATGAAGAAAAGAAAGAATGGGTGGAGGTAGAAGATCACATAAAAGAGGACAATGGGTTTTGACGATTAAACCAACATTTATGACTGCTAGAACATTTATGCTATCACATCTATTAGCATACTACGCCATTGAATCTTTAGTAAGTAATAATTGATACCCCTAAAGACGTATATTCCAAAGGGTTATGCTACATGTACCGAATTTTTTTACCAAATCTTTTACACCCCACTCACATTAGGAGGTGGGGACCACAAGCCGGAATTTTTAAATACACATGGGGCCCATGCGCATTGTGAGAGGAGGGACACCATTCGGTACATTTAGACTAATTCTATTCCAAATTATGTACTGTTAATTCCCAATAAGCATGAGTTTAAAAGAACTCTGTCATTGCTATAGTATTGCTAAAGAAAAGGCACGCACTCGATTAATGTCAAACACATTACATCAATCCCAACTCAGCGACAAGATTAATACTGATACGATACTAGGATGCATCATCACCTCCCAAGCCAACAGAATATCAAAAATGAAAAAAATGACAATTGAAGTATACAGAAGTCAAGATAAAGGGACCAGAGAACTAACAAATATTTTTATGATCAAATGCAAATGAAGTATATTTGTTAGATTCATTCGAGCACTGGATTTCTAAACCAAAATCTAAAGTATAAATAACACATCATTTGCAGCAACTTATTTCAGGATTACTAGGGAATATAAGATATCAGAGTAAGGAACATTTTTACCTGCAATGCAGATGTAAATTGTAAGTATGTAATTCATTTATATCATAGTTTTAGCTCATGACACTAGGAAAAGGATATGTAAATTAATAGCTTTGGAAAAACTCTTAGAAATCTCGTGAGACCAGTGTGCACCTATGCAAACATAAAATATAATGAGGTCAGTGTCAAAGAATGAAGACACCAAAATGTTTTACTAGCGGAAACTTGAAGACTAATGTCAAGAATGGACAGATATATTGACAGCAGCTTCACAAATCATAACTTCGAGATGGTCAATCACATAAATGAGCAAATCCTGACTGAAGCTTTGAAGCTACAAAAGTTCTCCCCTTATACTAGCCTTGAGGGAGGAGTATACAGGCACAGGAATAGATAAAATTTAACTTTCCAAAATCCAAAGAACACATTTTACAACTGAGATGGTTAAGTGCTACCAGAGGAGAGGGGTGGTGTGTGCATCTATTTTCATGTTACAGTTACAAACTAAAATTAACATTTATGGAAACCATAGTAAATTTGTATAACAATATAGATCAAGAGTGTATTCAAATGGAATATTTGTAAATCTACAATATTTTGGCCTTTTATATTAGAGAAACCTTATAAATGTTGAACCAAAGTTGTAATAAGGATCACTGCAATTTACTTAAAAATTCATCAATATAGAAGTGAAACTTATTCATCATTGAATTTTCTTTATATTTAAATATAATACAGTTAAGAGATATCTGCAAGTGCCAAGCTTCTCGATTTTTTCATATCACAGGTTATCCAATTACAAAAAATTTAAGCCCGTACTATCAGAATTTATATCAGCATGAAACCATGTCCAAACCATGGTGTAGAAGTATCTCAAGTAGTTTACAAGTTGTTGACAAATAAATTGAGCAGTCACCTTAACCTCAAAGTGTGCCTAACTACCTTCGACTTTGGAATATGATTGACCACAAAATAGAAATTGAAAGACAAATAGGAAATAATTCTGGAAGGAAGAAGATGCAATTTGGGCGAGGGAGGACATGACATGTTCAAACAACATTGTGTTAATGGGTCTTGGTGCTTTAAGAAGAAAACCTGCTGATTTATTGGCGCCCCTCCATAAGCCACGACCACTCTGACACCGGTTTGATAAGAAAACTTTCTAGCTTCATCATGTATCTGCATGTTAAATGCAACTCATCGATTGTGAATTCCAACTGAAAATGCACAAGTATTGGGGTACAATACTAATATCCTTAAATAACAAACCACCTGCATTGAGAGTTCTCTTGTCGGTGAAAGAACAAGAGCAAGTGGAAAAACAGTACGCACTCCACGTGGTCTGGGTTGAAAATGGCCTCGCATAATTCCACTAATAATTGGGAAGCAAAAGGCAGCTGTCTTACCAGACCCCGTCTGAGCACAAGCCATCAAGTCTCGGCCTGCTATAGAAATGGGTATTGCGTGTCGCTGAACAGGAGTTGGCTTGACATACTTGCACCTCCGAATATTCAAATTCAGCGCTTCCCCCAAATCTATCTCAGCAAATGCATTCACAGGAAGTGGCACGTTATCTCCAGTTGTCTCCACGGGAATATCCTCATAAGCATCAAAGTTGATACCGGAATTCTCCTGCTCCTCAAATGCACGCTCTGCATCAGCATCCACATCGTCATTTCCAAAAGGATTCACCTCACGTTCCTTGCCAACCCAGCCACTTCTGCTATGGCCTCCGCCATGTCCCTGACACCCATGATCAGACCTTGGACCACCCCATCGAGACCCACTTGTCGGTATGCTGTACTTGGACCTATCATTACCAGATGGTGGGCCACTAAGTGACGGAGCAGGAGGTTCAGTGGCTGGAGGCCTGTTCCGAAGGTGAGGTGGAACATAAGTCGGCTTGGTGGGAGCAGATGCACCTTTATGCCCAGCACTAGTGCCAGTGTTATCAGAAGATCCAGTCTCAACGGTGTCTGCCCATGAAGTCATTTTCCAGAGTGAAATCTTTCAAATCTCTTGCCCTGGCCTAAGTTTCAGCAATACGAAATTTATATATCCAATTTGAAGAGCGTTTCAAATATATCACGGTTCAAACCCCTGATTGGAAAACACGCAAGTAGAAAAACAAAATTAGCAGAAAACATAAATAATAATAAAAAAATCAGGTTAAATAATCAAAACAGGTAATTTCCATATCCATTTATTGCATAAGCAAATAAGAATGAAAAAAAAAAATCAATAAATTTAACACCAGCTCCAGTTAAATGCAATAATAAAGTAAAGATGTAATACTGGATGAACTGTATCAGAAGTTCGAAATATCAGGCTCTCCGGATGCATACGATTGTTTACAATAATCGGTTTTAGCACTTCAGTGTTCAACAATTCTTTCACATAATTGCGCTTACACAATGCGTGTAAATAAATTCACACAAACATCCTTGAGTGTGAGTGTGTGGATATGGAAAGAGAAATGAACCTGAGAAGAGAGAGATCAGGATGAGCGTACTGAAACGGTGAAACAAGTATTTGGAAAACCCTAGCTTTTGAGAGAGATGGAATCAAAATGCAGACAAGAAAGCTAAAAAATCGGCTGTCAAAATTTCTCTCTTTCTTGCAGAAACGGTCCCTGTCATTTTTCCTTGTTGCGGGTTGAGTACCTATAGTTCCATTTTGACAATGACATCTCTATTTCAACTTTACATGACGTCATTTCCGTCCAACACCATCCCAATTTGCCGTTGATGGGTCGCATGCAATTGCAACTCACATCCTTTTTCCTTGAGGGAATTTTTGTCCAGCTGTATTGGTTCATTCCTTCCTGGCACTAGAGGTGTCAAGACGAGCGGATTGGTCAGATCCGTGAAAATCGATCTGGATCGATTCGGGATCGCGACCCGACCCGTGACCCGAGCGAGCGGTTCATGGGTCAAAGAGGTGTAATCCGCGGACTTCGCGGATTGCACCTTCATGGGCCTTGGTTAACCCACTAACCCGTGAAAAAAAAAAATTAAAAATTTTTTAAAAAAGAGGGGGAGAGAGCCATCGTACTTATGATATAAATATTTGATAATAGTAATTAGAAATGCATTTAGTTGTTATTTGTTTAAATTAAATTTAACTTTGCAAAGTTATAAATAATTCATGTAATATTAAATTTGAATTCTATGTAAACATTTCTTGGTATAAATATAAATTTATCATTTTGTTCAATT